AATAAACTACCATCCCCATAAATAACCAGTTTGTGCTGTGCACCTAGAAGAACCTGCTTTAAATTTCCATGCCAATTTATGACCCCCATACTGTACCAGGGAAGGTTAGTGGCTACTGAAAATACCACCAGGACAGGGCTATCTAAAGACACATCCTGTAGTGTGTTAACTATACAAAAAGACACTACAGTCAAATCTACCATTTCCATTTTTTTCTTTAAAAGGAGTGAGTTCTGTAAATGCTGTATAGACAAGAAGAAATGCACTAGAACCAACTTAATCATCTCCTCTTCATCTTCCTCCTCCTCTTTTTCTTGCTTTTTTCAGCCTTGACAACTCCCTTTATGGATACTCAGGCTTTCCTTTAGCTCAATATGCAGCAATATCCTTTTTGTATTTCTCCTTCAGCTTAGGAGCCTTCTTTTCATAAGGCTGCTTGTCATCTGCAACAGTGTTATTCCACATCTTTCCCAGCTTCTTTCCCGGCAACCAGTGGGTAGGCCGGGATGCTCTCCTTTGTTTAAAGGAGACCTCTTGGGTGCATTGGGATCCTTGAATTTCTTTTTGTTTCCCTTTTAGGAAGGATATAAGTTTTCATTTCTCTCTCATAGCGGGCCTTGTTCGTCTTTGCCATGTCTTCAAATTTTCCTTTGTTAGTAGACATGGTCTTCCATCTCTCTGAGCATTTCTTAGAAAACTTTGAGAAGTTGACTGAAGCATCTGGGTGCTGCTGCTTGTGTTCCTCTTAGCAAGTTTGCACAAAGAAAGCATACGATGCTCGGCCTCTTAGGATCGCCTTTTATTTTTACTCCTAATTAATTTTCCTCAGCAAGCACAATCACCCAGTGCCCAGCCAGCTCACACTTGCCCTGGCATTGTCTCTATGGAGCTCAATTTACTGCAATGGCTGTCTCAACCAGAAAGATTTTGACACTTTTATGAGTAAAGAACTAGAATGTTACCTTAAGGACAGTTGCACAAAAAACTAAAATCCATGAAGGACACTTTATAAAATGCAAACTGAAATGGAATTATTTTTTTAAAATTTTTTTATTGATTGATTTTTAGAGAGGGAGAGGGATAGAAACATCAATTTGTTGTTCCACTTATTTTTTTTAATATATATTTTTTATTGATTTCAGAGAGGAAGGGAGGTAGAGAGATAGAAACATTGATGATGAGAAAGAATCATTGATTGGCTGCCTCCTGCAAGCTCCCCACTGCAGGGGATGGAGCCCACAACCTCGGTATGTGCCCTTAGCCTGAATCGAACCTGGGACCCTGTAGTCCGCAGGCCCATGCTCTATCCAATGAGTCAAACCGGCGAAGGCTGAAATGGGATTATTGGTCATGATTTTAACTTCTAGTGCTTGAATCAGTTTTATTTTTCAAATGGAAATAATGGTTACAGCATTGTCTTTTATAAAGATAGAGCAGCAGAAGTCTTATTGTATGTAGTATAACAATTGGTACTTTAGGGAGAAGGATTTTTTTCTGTAATATGTATTATAAAAAGAATTCTAAAAAGTACATAATGAAAATATGAGTCTTCATTCTAGTATGCCTAGTTTGGAGGAATAGATGTTTTGTATATTATGTAGAATGGACATGAAAATACTTTCTCATTAACACTTGAATTATGAATGCTTTTGAGGTTATGAATAAAAATGTATAAAGAAGTTGTTTTTTTAATTTGTAATAAGTTTGCCTAATACACTCTTGCTCCAAGAATTTTAAAAGTTGTCTTGAAGAGCCTTGGCTGGCTCAGTTGGTTAAGTGTTGTCCTGTGCACTGAATGAAGGTTATCAATACAATTTCTAGTCAGAGCACATGCCCAGGTTTTGGGCTCCATTCAAGTTAGGGTTTGTGCGGGTGGCAACCGATGGGATGGATGTTTCTCTCTCACATCAATGTTTCTCTCTCTCCCCCTCTCCTTTCCCATCTAAAATAAACTTAAAAAATAGTTGTCTTAAGAAATAAAACTGCATCTGTCAGCTTTTCTTAATAGGTTTTGTATTTGACAAGTGTAGAAGGCTAAAGCAAAATTGGTTAGATTAGCCCTAGCTGGTTTGGCTCAGTGGATAGAGCGTTGGCCTGAAGACTGAAGTGTCCCAGGTTTGATTCTGGTGAAGGGCACATGCCTGGGTTGCCGGCTCAGTCCCCAGTTGGGGACATGCAGGAGGCAGCTGATCCGATTATTCTCTCTCATCATTGATGTTTCTTTTTCTCTCTCTCCTTTCCTCTCTGAAATCAATAAAAATAGGTATTTTTAAAAATTGGTTAGATTAGACTTTGAAAAAGTATGTTTATTATCTACAAAATATTAAGACTTTATATCCTTTTCGGATAGATTTTAAAATTAAAAATAATTAGAATGTTATTAATAGCATTAAGAGTTGACTTCTGTGTGTAGAAAAAATACACTTAAGGGTATGTTCTATGTTTCTGTGTTTTGAAAAAAATGAATGTTATATTTGAATTTAGTTTTTGTATTCAGAAAAAAAAAACCTTGTTTATCTAGTTGTATTTTCTCTAACTTTCTCTTGTTTTAATTGAGTTAGGTATTATTCATTTACAAGGGGTAAGAATGGGAATGCTATACACAGCAAAGGATATGGTTCCTGCTCTTAAGATCTCATGATCTGCCAAACCGGTTTGGCTCAGTGGATAGAGCATCGGCCTGCGGACTGAAAGGTCCCAGGTTCGATTCCGGTCAAGGGCATGTATCTTGGTTGCGGGCACATTCCCAGTGGGGAGTGTGCAGGAGGCAGCTGGTCGATGTTTCTCTCTCATCGATGTTTCTAACTCTCTATCCCTCTCCCTTCCTCTCTGTAAAAAATGAATAAAATATATTTAAAAAAAAAAGATCTCATGATCTAAGACAACTTGAAGAGCACTTAAAATGAAACATTTAAATTACTGAGCTGGCATAAAATAATATGAATAGTATGTAGTAAGACTGAATTAATAAAGCTTTTTGGCAAAAAACTTTTAATCTATATTTTGAAGAAGTGGTCTGTTAGATTGATGGAGAGGGAAGGGAATATCAGAAAAGGGGAAAGGCATGTTGGGAATTGTGGAATGTGTAAATATTTTCCTTGCTTGAAGTAAAGTGTTTTATATGAATTTAATGAAAAATAAAGTTGATAAGATTGTGTGGCCTGAGCTGAGAATCTAAAGAAGTTTGGATTAGAAATTAGAAATGAGGAGTTCTACTGAAGGTCATTGAACAGAAATACAAGAAGAAAAATGAGAATATTAACAGCCAGATATAACATGATTGGGGAAAAGATTGAAGTGAGAAAGGCCAGTTAGAGGTAATTATTTTGAGATTTATATTTAAAAATAAGGACGGGTAGTTTTAAAGTAAAGAAGGTGAAATGCGTGCCTCCTAAGTTTATGTAGTGCAAAGTTAAAATAAGAATGGAACAATTTTATTTTCTTCTGGTATTGAAAATAAATTTACTTGGTCATACAGTTTGCAAGTAAGTAATTAATACTAATTGAGGCTATCTGCTTTGTTCTATAAAAAAGTGATGAATTTTTTTTCAAGTTTGATTTGAAAACTAACTAAAACCCCAGAAAGTTATGCCATCGTGGTATTTTCTGAGTTGCTAGTGCTTTGGACTTAAGAAAAAAACAAACTTGAGATGAATACTAAAAAGAGCTTCTATTGTAATTCTGTGTTTTGAGTTATAGTGGTACATTTTAGCCATGTTTTCAGAGACATTCTAATTGGTATAAGAGTTGGTGGACAAATGGGTGATAAGAAAATTAGTAATCTGGAGTATACCAAGATTTAAATTTGTTTTAAAATAGTTACTTGTTTTAACATTTAGGAATAGTTAAAAGCACATAGCTTTTATAGGAGGGAAAAATCCCTAATATATAGTTCCCTAATAATACTCTGGGCTGTAGTATTTTTTTATATTTGTTATTTAAGATATTTATTTTTAATGAATTTTCAAAGTTTTTAAATTGTATACTATTCCTTATAATGAATACATTTATTAAAATAGAAAATGTAGAACAATATGAAAAAGTTACTTGAGTAATATAACTTAAAGAATGTTTTTCTGCCTTTTTTAGAGTTAATAAATACAACAGTGTTTGGGAGTTAATAGAGTCTTAGCATTCTGAGAATAGTATGTTAGGCCTTTTTTAAAAGTCCTTACCTGAGAATATGTTTGCATTGATTTTATAGAGAAATATCAATGTGAGAGAGAAACATTGATTGGCTGCCTCCTGTACGTGCCCTGACAGGGGATCAAACCCAAAACCTAGGTATGTGCCCTAATAGGGAATCAAACCCCAAACCTCTTGGTGTAGGGGATGATGCTCCTTCCAGTGGGGCCTGGGTGATAGTATGTTAGTCTTATTATGACAAGTTCACAATGGAAATTTATTTATTTATTTATTTATTTATTTATTTATTTATTTATTTATTTATAGCTTTTAGAACAGAGAGGAGAGAGAGAAACATCGATTTGTTGTTTCACTTACTTATGCATTCATTGGTTGATTCTTGTATGTGCTCTGACCGGGGATCGAACCAGCAACCTTGGAGTATCAGTATAATACTCTAACCAGCTGAGCTACTCGGTGGCCAGAGCTCATGACAAGTTTACATTTTAACCGTTCTCTCAGTTAATAGGTTTCAGTTAGTAAATAAGTTAGTGAAGTTTTTGATAACATGGTAAAATAGATACATTTGACTCCATCTAAGTTACCTGTTGAAGCAAATCAGCTAAAGCAGAAGAATAGGTTGTCTCATACTACCACTGGGAAAATAGATTTCATCCATATCTTGGAAATTTGGGGTTTCTGTATAGACAGTACGGATGAGAAGTGATGACAGCAGAACTATCTACTGTTCCCTGATTATTCTGATGAACTAGTGGTATTATAATAGGAAGCTTTCGTGAAAGCCCTGCCTTGAACCTCTTTCTTAAATAGTTTCCTGATTATACCTATTTGTGCTACATACTTCTTGGAAATAGATGGATCCCACCTGTGTATGCTGCCTTGGGTCTCTGCAATCTGAAAAGCAATGAAAAATCACTTCATGCCTGAGGAGGGGGAGCACTGAAAGGGATGGAGACTAGGAAACCAAGTTGACTTCCATATACGTTGATCCTGTTGGAACAGCTCACACAGGTGGAGAAGATAGAGATAACTTTCAGTGGCTTTGGGGTAACCAATATTCTTGTGCTATGTGAGTGAATGTTTTAATGGTGGCAGTTCCATTAACAGTAATGCAAATGGTATTCTAAGTAGATGTCCTTTAGTGTGGTATTGCTTGCCCAACCTACTCTTGGTGCATCCATCTTATTTTCCAAGCCCTCTTCACCAATTTTCCTGTCAAGTTTGACTACCTTATAGTTTTCCAATAGTTTTTTTCTTAATTTAACTGTAATTGATTTCCTCCGTCCCCTTTTCAAATTGAATTAAAAATCTTACTGTGTGGTTTTATGAGTTTTATCTAGGTCAGAATGACACAAACATTGAAAATATGGGAATGGCAAAAATAATACTAAAACTTGCAAGTTTCATTGACATCAAGCAAAGGATAAAACCTTTCTAGGGCAAAACTTTTGAGTGGAAAACATTTTTTAAATAAAATACTAGGACTGCTAAACAGTATCAGGCTTAAACTTTTGTGTGATAAACTCAAACAAATAGCATTAAAACATATGAAGTAGTTTCTTTAGAGAAATTGGTAAAACTAGTTTTTTTTAGGAGACTTTAATTCACCTCTCAGAATTTAATAAATTAAGTAAACAAAAATTAAGGCTATAAAGATTTGAATAGCAGTATACTTTATTTAATAGAAGTATGTCAAACTTTGTTTCCAATAGAGAATACACATTCTTCTCAAATTCCTGTGAATTCTTTTGAAACTGTCTTGGGCTTCAATGAGAATTTGAAATTTTAAATAAGAATAATTGAATAGGTCAGTATTTTTTTACTACAGTATAGTAAAACTAGATGTTAAAGCCACAATGAGTCTACCTGCATGGTTGGGGTGTGTGCGGAAGGCAACCGATCATGTTTTTTTCTCACATCAATGTTTTTTTTTCTCTTTCCCCCTCCACTCCCCCCCCCCCCCTCGAAAATCAATAAACATATCCTTTGGTGAGGATTAAAAAAACAAAAACCTCTGTGTCTTACTAGAATTTGAACTTAAATTTCATACTATTTAGAAATGTATAACAATGAGGACATGACACATCAAAATTGATAGATGAATGAATATTCATTTAAACATGGTGGATTAAATAACCATTTACTTTTTTTTGCTATCAAATCTCTACTAGAATTGATTTTCTTTTTTTAAAAAATAGGCATAGATGTCAAGGGCAAAAAAAACTGGAAAGTTGATCACAACTAAAATTTTAGGAGCTAGAAAGCAACAAGTGGTAAATAACTTTTTAGATGTGAGAAAACTGAATTTATTAGTGGGGAAGTCCTAGAATTGGTGCTCTGTAGTCCTGGGATGCTTCAGTATTGGTGGCTGCAGGTACCTTGAAAGAATTGTCTAAAAGTCTATAATAACAAGTAAGTAACATATTACCAGGAAAGGGTCTCTTCAGGTTTCTTCTCTGATACAAAGGGATGATCTCTGTTCTTGTCACTGGGTACAGCTGGATTAAGGGTGCCATACTGACAGATAATTGAATAGAAATTTACATGTTGAAATGGGAATCACCCCCAGCCTCTTTCTTCTAGTTCTGAGAACACTGGGTGTTAGGCTCCTAATTCCAGAAGATGAGATTGGAAGATTCATCCTGTTACAGCAAACCTATGATCAGGGCGAAAAAGACCAAGTGATGATAACATGGCCCAGACTCATCATCCAAAAGTGACACCTATAAACACAGAAATTGCAGCAACTTTTTTGTTTCATTTTAACGTATGAGATTAAGGATCATTAAATGTTTTAGGATAATCTCTATGTGAAAGAGAAGAAGGAAATAGAAACTATTCAGGAAGAAAACTTTATTAAAAAAATTATTGATCAACAATAAAAACATATAAAAAGTTATTGATATATTTGGAAGGGGATAATTATATCTTTGAAACAAGAAAAACCAATCCTCAGAAAACAAAGAGCTCTTAGACATTTAGAACATGAAATAACAGAATTGGAAATACAGAATATGAAGGAAATTAAGAAAAATGGAACCAGAAAACCAAGATGGCGGCATGGGTAAACGCCTGTACTTGCTGCCTCCCACAACCACTTCAGAATTACAACTAAAAGACAGAACAACTACCACACAGAACCATGGGAAAGCTGGCTGAGTGGAAGTACTACAACTAAAGAGGTGAAGAAGAAAGTGCACTGAGACTGGTAGAAGGGACGGGCTGGTCTGGGACCTGGGTGTGCCGCTTTTTTAATCTGGAGGGTGATTGCCTCTGTGGAGGCTGCCCTGAGGAGTGAGGAGTCCCAGCCCCACACCAGACCCCCACCCCCAGGTCCCAGAACTGGGGAAAAAAGTCCCTACAGGTAGTAAGAACTATGGACTGTAAAAACCAGTGCGGACTGGGGCTGAGTGACACACAGGCTGCTGGAGACAACTGCTCCTCTTAAAAGGCCAGCACTGAACTGAATTTACAAGCTCCCGCTGGCTCTGAGCTCCAGTGCTGGGCGAGGCTCTGGGAGACCCAGACACATACAAGGAGAAACTGGACTGTCTGGCATCGGGGCAGGAACTTGGGGCAGCTTTCTTCCAGACAGAGGTGCTCGCCGCAGTCATTGTTCTCTTGCCTGGACCTCCTCGGTTCGGGGCTGACTGGAAGCCATGTCTGTTTGCTCCACCCAGAGATTCCCTGAGACCTTGCCCTACCCAATTTACAACCCCACCCAAGCTGTGCAACAGCTTTTGCATATGAATGGTCTGTCCTTTCTCAGGCGAAAACTCCATCAAACAAGCTGCAGCTGGGTCAGAGCTGCAAACCTATAAATAAAAGGCCCCCAAAACTGCCACTGGCCCCAGCACTAGCCTACCTTGCTTCACAGCTGGGCCTTGTCTGGGCACTTCCAAACCCAATACAAAGAGGAGGAATCTGCAGATCTCTCTGTAGCTCCTGCTGGGTGGCCTCAGGCAGTGGCACACTTTGCACCTCCCTGGAGACCCAAGAGCCAGTGTACCAGTGGTCAGTGTGAAACAGTACCAGATTACAACTCTTCACATCCATAAGTGACACACTCAAAGGGCAGATTCACTGAGCACCAAAGCCCCACTGAAGCAAGTCCTCCATAAGGGTGTCTCCTGCATAGCAGCTTTCCCATTGTAGTCGCAGCTAGACCCCACAGCCAATTGGCCTGGAGGTCAATTCCTCCCAGTGACATCAATAGCAATCAAGGCTCAACTACAACAAAACTCTGCACACAGCCCACAAAGGGGTGCACCAAGAGTGTCCACCTCAGGTGATTGGGGAGGCTGAGCCACTGTGCCCTACTGCACAAGGCCACTCTTTTTAAAAAATATATATATATATTTTTATTGATTTCAGAGAGGAATGGAGAGGGAGAGAGAGGTAGAAATATCAATGATGAGA